TCAAAACTTTTCCCCTTTCTTCCTTCCTTCTTACTTCCTTCGTCCCCAAATTTTAGTCATATTTTGAAATTTTAATTTTTTATCAATAATATTTTAATTGTGATATATCGACTTTTTTTTTTCAATCTTACCTTTCAAAATTAAAATTTTAAATTTGAATATAATGTGTATTTAATTAAAAATTGGGACATTATTTTAAACAGATCAAATATTTTAGAATATTTAAAAGTAGAAAGTAATACTAAAATTTTAAAATGGAGGGGGAGGGCGTATAAGATTTGAAGTCTCTAGTTGGAGTGTTGGACAACTTAAAAAAAAAAAAAAAAGGGTAACATACTCAAAATAAACAAAAGCTGGATATTTGCATTTGGGACATTTTGGACCAAATGCTGGCATCCAGCATTACACTCAATTCTGAACTGGCTGGAAAGCACCTTAGTTGCCAAAAATTCTGTACAAAAGCTGAATGCCCACTTGGGGACTAGGCCAATTGAGGAGCATCGCAAGAAACCTGCAAACAACGCCACTATAAATTAAACATCGCGTTGCCTAGCTGCCAATCATACTACTCATCATCAAAATCAAGTGCCTCAGGTCAATTTTCTTCTTCTAGGAACCATGCTACTTTGTATACCTCTAGAGTATATAAATATATAAAGGCCATCCACATGTAGAAAATCACTAACAAGATCCTCTATTTTCTAGGCAATTACTAAAGTATTGAATCAGTTCTCCAATTAGTTTCTTTTGGTAAATAGTGCTATTGTTTGGATAGGAAATTATTTGAAATAATTACTATAGCATTTTTTATAATGTGATGTATGTGAAATAAAAAAAAAATGATTGAAAAGATCCAAAACTTCTAAAGTTTGAGCTCCTTGCATATGAGATTTCACTGATATTTACGGAGTATTTGACTAGCTAGCTAATCTGAAGCAGGTTCCTGTACGTTGACAACAAACTAGATGCCAAATAATTCTGTTCATCTTTCAACCCCCCCAATCCATCTTATTTGGCAGAGGGGGAGGAAGCCAATGTGGTAAAGCAAAGGCCAGTAGCAATAAGTCCTCCCTACAAACAAAGCGTTCACCCTCGTAGGCAATTAGCCTCGTGTTTCTTTTCTTCAGCATGACAGCAGAAGATTTTCTCTCCCATTCTAAAATACGAAACTAGTGGATTGAAGGGATGGAACCCCATTCGAACCACGTACTTATCAGGTTGTGGATCATGGAGATAATGCTAGACAGGAATAGCCCATATTGCATCCTGCAGGTCAAGCTGAATCCTATACATTAGATTAGGCTCGGTTCTTTTTTCTTTTTTTTTTTTTTTTAGCGAAAATCACTTCATCACGTCCCCCCAGCTTTCCAGCTTTCTACCAAGTGCGCATACACCAAAACCTGGAATTCTATCATCATCCACAGCACATTGCAGAATTCCCATACTCAATTGAGACAAACTGGGAAAATGATTTGTTCTCCCAAATGAAGGTAACCAAATCAACTGGATGTGAGACTGATCCCTGTCTGGATTATTGGCAATCAAGCAACTCCTCATTAAGCTAGGATCAGAACTAAGCCAGGAACAAGATTATATCAAGAGCATATCAAGATTGAATTCTTTCCAGAATCCTTGTTTTGAAGTGTAAGTCTTAACCATCTGGGATTTCCAATTGGATTTTCCAGGTTCAACACAATATGGCAGGACCACCATGAAATCGATGTCGAATTCGCTGGAAGGAAATCCAAGAGGTCCCAATTCACCACCAATTAATGGACCAAGGCAGGCTTTCGGGAATGAGATGCACTGCCGCGTAACTGGATTAAGGACACGAAAATTGGAAGAGTTGATGTAAAGAATAAGACCATTGGAATTAATGCATTGAACAGGTCCTGCTAACGTAGGCATAAAAACCTGATGGTGATCCAGACCCGATTGAACGGTGGTTGGTCATGGTAAGGGAAGAGTCTCTCCTCTTTGTGATTTTTTTGTATAGTTTTACAAAATTTTCGTGTATTTTTATATTATACTAATAAATTTTCCTAGATTTTACAAAGCATTAGCAACTAGTTTGGTCTCAATAATATAATTTAGGACTACGTTTGTTTCAATCGCGACATTAAAAATTAATTTAGTCGAAAATTGTTATGAAACTAATAAAATAAACTCCCAAAAAGTAGGGATTGGATTAGTAGTGTAAAAAGAGAAGAGAGAACTATAGTATTATTCATTGATCAAAGTACTTCCAGATTCCAAGGTTACAAGGTTACAAAGGAAGTAGGATACACCCCTATATATAGGTGATCCAAGATCAAAGGTACATGAACCTTATTAAATACAAATACATGAATTTAGTACATCAAGTACATCCATAAATGAGTTCATCCAATGTACCAATGAATCTAGGGAGAATACAGGTGACTATCATCTTGAGAATGCAAACGGACATCTTCATCTTGTAATCCTTCTTGAGAATATCAACGGACAGCCACATCTAGAGAATATCAACGGACATCCACATCTTATCATTATTTCATAACACTCCCCCTTGGATGTCCATGACACAAAGAATATGCCTCGTTAAAACCTTACTAGGGAAAAACCCAGTGGGATAAAAACCCTAGTGAAGGAAAAAGAGTACACTATTCTTGTGTAATAAATTCTACCCCTGATGCAAACATTATATGAGATCTTTTGGCCGACGCATACCAATATTCTTCACCAGTTTCCCAAACGTAGCAGTCAGCAAAGCCTTGGTAAACAAATCTGCCAAATTATTATCCGATCGGATTTGTAGCACATCAATCTCACCATTCTTCATTCCAACGTCGTCTTGTAGGCGAGGAATTAAATCTTGCTAATAAATTCACAGCAAATGATATATCTGGTCTTGTACAATTAGCAAGATAATAAGCGCACCAAATGCACTGAGATATGGTACTTCAGGACCAAGTATCTCTTCATGTTCCTCTTGTGGCCTAAGGGGATCCTTATTAGGATTCAATAATCTGATGACCATTGGGGTACTTAATGTATGTGCTTTATCCAGACGAAATCGCTTTAATACCTTCTGGGTATAAGTAGGTTGGTGGATAAAAATTTTACTCTCTAAATGCTCAATTTGTAAACCAAGGCAAAATTTTGTCTTTCCAAACTCTTTGATCTCAAATATTCGACAGCCTTTTGGATCTCTTCAGGAGTTCCAATCAAATTGAGATCATCAACATATATCGCAATAATCACAAAATTTGACCCATTTCTCTTGATAAAAACACATGGACATATTGGGTCATTTTAGTTAAGCATTCATTGAGGCGGTTATGCCACATACGTCCAGATTGCTTGAGCCCATACAAAGACTTTTGTATTCTAATAGGATACATATCTCTAGGATTTGATTTACATGCTTCAGGCATATTGAATCCTTCAGGGATTCTCATGTAAATATTATTGTCAAGATTCTTATACAAATAAGCAGTGACAACGTCCATCAGACGCATATCAAGTTTTTCATGCACTGCAATACTCACAAGATATCTAAATGTGATCGTATCCATTACAGGTGAATACGTTTCATCATAATCAAATCCAGACCTTTGTGAAAAGCCTTGGGCTACAAGTCTTGTTTTATATCTCACTATTTCATTCTTTTCATTCCTTTTTCTCACAAAAATCCATTTATATCCAACTGGCTTGACACCTTCAGGCGTTTGGACTACAGGCCCAAAAACATTTCTTTTAGCCAGTGAATCTAATTCAGATTGTATTGGCCTTTTCATTTTGGTCAATCATTTCTATGCCGACATTCATCAACTGATCTAGATTCATGATCCTCATCAACTTCTATAATATCAAGTGCTACATTTCATTAGGCTCCAATTAACTTTTTTATAATTTCATTCTCTTCAGGAGCTGGCTCTTCGGGAGCTGGCTCTTCAGGAGCGACCTCTTCAGGAGGTTAAATTTTGTCATGACATTTATTTAATCTTCGGAGATATTTGAAATCAATGTATACCTTATATAGGTAGGCCGGCCTTTATTTGTAGCACTGGTACATGTCCTTCAGGGACATCAATTTTAACAAGAGTATTTCCTGCAGGAATAGTTGATTTAATAACTCTTCTGGAGTCGATAAATATAATTTTCTTCAAATGAAGAATTTCTTGAACTTCTAGTTCACATTATTTTATATGAGGATTCCTTTCGGTTGATCTTGTCCTCCCCCTAATGTCGGGATAGATCACTCATCAATATTTTACGATATTTAATCGTAAAAGGTGATGCATATCCGATATCAATTTCTTTTGGAGCCATGTATAATATAAAGGGGGTATGTATAAATACTTGTCGACATTCAAATATTCTCACTTTTGCCAAATCATATATTCATTGGGATCAGTAAACTGCTGGTTTACTGCATGTGATGATTATAAATCAAATGAGAATAAAGATAACTATATCGATAACCATTACACCCTCGAATGATTAATATGATATAATCAACTTTCATCTGACTTGATTTTTATTATTATCTCATTCAGTGTCTCAATTTGATATCCATCTCGACGGATATCTTTAATAAATTTCTTCGAGTGTTGGGAGAGAGTAGTGCATTATTTACGACAATTTTGGTTCCTTCAGGGAAAAATAGAGTGACTCTTCCAGAGCGCTCAATTAATTTTGCACTACCACTGATGGTATTAAATTTGTCTCTCTCATCTCTAAAGAAGAAAAATATCTTTTATTTTTCAATATAATGTGCGTAGAAGCACTATTAATGAGACAAATATTATCATCACCATTATATAGTCCCAAATGTTTGGCATCCATTTCTTCTTCAGGAAGAAAATAAATGAAACTAAACATTGATAAAAGATGCGAGAATAGACATTTGCAAAGTAAATTAAAACTAACAACATATCAAACAACATACCAAAGTAATAGACAATCCTGCAAGACTAACAATTTATCAAACATCTAGACAAATATTAAAAATATGATCATTTTGCATCTTCAGGATGCTCAAAGAAATCGGCAATATCCAGGTGTGTCATGTCAACATCATCATCATCATAAGCATCCTTTTGGTCGATAAAATTTGTCTCGACATTTTTGTCCTTCTTTTTCAATGATGCTTGATAGAGGTCAACAAGATGTTCAGCCGTACGACAGGTACGGGACCAGTGACCTTCCATACCACATCGGTAGCATTTTTCTTCATAAACTTTCTTTTCTCCTTCTTTCGGATCGTAGTTATTTTCTCCTTTTTGGGAAATATTTTGTTGCTTGCCACGGCTATAATCTTCACGAGGCACAAATCTACTACGATCACGTACACGGCCACGGCCACGTCCACGGCCTCTTCCACGGCCACCTCTACGGCCACGTCCACGACCTCGACCAGAATTTTGAAATTGAGTCCCATTCGCTTCAGGGAATGGACTTGCACCAGTTGGTCGGGACTCATGATTTTTCAGCAGTAATTCATTATTTTGTTCAGCCAACAGAAGACATGCAATAAGTTCAGAATATTTTTTTTAAATCCTCTCTCTCTATATTGCTGCTGCAGGAGCATATTAGTGACATGAAAAGTAGAGAATGTTTTCTCTAACATATTTTCATCAGTGACTTTTTCGCCACACAATGATAATTGAGAAGTAATTCTGAACATGGCTGAATTATATTCGTTGACAGATTTGAAATCTTGTAGTCGTAAGTGGAGCCAATCAAATCGGGCTTTTGGAAGAACGACCAACTTCAGGTGGTCGAATCTTTCTTTCAAATCTCGCCAAAGGACAAGAGGATCTTTGACAGTAAGATACTCTACTTTTAATCCTTCATCTAAATGACGACGAAGGAAAATCATGGCCTTAGCACGGTCTTGGTTTGAGGCATCATTCTCATCAATAATAGTATTACCAAGACCCATTGCCTCAAGATGAATTTCAACATCCAAAACCCACGATAAATAATTTTTTTCCAGAAATATCAAGAGGTATGAACTCTTGTTTTGTGAGATTAGCCATAAGACTATGCAATAGATTCGTAGGAAAAAATTTACCTTGATAAGTAGTCAAAAGTTATTCGGGCAGAACCTTGACAGCGTCTCGTGCTTTTCCTTCGCTCAAAGTAGAGACTCGTGCTTCTCCTTAACTCAAGGTAGAGACTCGTGCTGATAACGTGTTATGAAACTAATAAAATAAACTCCCAAAAAGTAGGGATTGGATTAGTAGTGTAAAAAGAGAAGAGAGAACTATAGTATTATTCATTGATCAAAGTACTTCCAGATTCCAAGGTTACAAGGTTACAAAGGAAGTAGGATACACCCCTATATATAGGTGATCCAAGATCAAAGGTACATGAACCTTATTAAATACAAATACATGAATTTAGTACATCAAGTACATCCATAAATGAGTTCATCCAATGTACCAATGAATCTAGGGAGAATACAGGTGACTATCATCTTGAGAATGCAAACGGACATCTTCATCTTGTAATCCTTCTTGAGAATATCAACGGACAGCCACATCTAGAGAATATCAACGGACATCCACATCTTATCATTATTTCATAACAAAATTGAATATTTTAGGTAGGTAGGTAGGTACCCTTTTTTTTTTTAAGGTTGAGAACTAGAAATAGTAATTTATTTTAACTTTTAAATCTTGAGAACTAAAAGTGCATTTTTTTTTCAGTTTGGTAAAATATGACGACTTTGTAATGCTTAACACCTGCTCGAGAGGAAAAGTAAACACAGATGGTTTACTCAGGAACAGAAAAATAATGACAAGTTGAACAACAGAAAAGAACATTACAATGTACTATGTATCTAGCTTGTGTACAGAATACAGTCTTGAACCAATTGTGATCCATGCCACTTAGACTAAGCAATAACTGTTAAAACTTCAAATTCATTCACAAAATGTAATAAGGTCTCCAAAAGAGAGAATGGCTGGACTTTGAGAAGTTCCATTTGCAGTGGGCAAAGACTTGACGTACTCAAACTAAACAAAGCTGGATATTTGGAACTTTCTTGACTTTAGGCTGCCCATCCAGCATTACTACTCAATTCTGCAGACTGGAAACCACCTCAATTGCCATAAATTCCATACTAAAGGTCAATGTCCACTTTGGGGACCAGGCCAGTTAAGAAGCACCCAAATAATGAAAGCACCACACCCATCCATTAATTTAACGTCGCGTTATCAAGCTGGCATATGACCCATGAATTCTTCATCTTCTTAGCCAGGAACCTTCTTGTCTCGTTCTCACTCGGCCAAGTATAAAAAGACATTCCCAATGCTGATGTCCTCGCTCAAATCCAAAGCTATCTGATCATATACTAGCATATAAATTAACCTCCGCTTCAATTCTTCTCTAGAATTTCACCTTACGATTTTCATACTAGGGATTTCTTCCAGTTAGTATTATTACCAAAATCTAAACCAATGGCCTATACAGGGTATGCTACCCCAATCAAGATCTCCATCTGCATCTTACTTCTTTCATTATTGCTCAATTTTGCTTCTGCGGGGAGGGTGCTTAGTAAGACAGGCCAAGGCCAAGAACAGGATCCTATGGTCTTCAAATACCACAATGGCCCTCTTCTCACAGGAAAGATCTCAATCAACCTTATTTGGTATGGAAGATTCAATCCCTCCCAAAAGGCCATCGTAACTGATTTCATCACCTCACTGTCCTCCCCTTCCCTGTCCTCCCAAGTCCAACCATCAGTTGCCACGTGGTGGAAAAACATCGAGAAGTATTACACCAAAATCAAATCCAAGAAATCCTCCTCACTCCATCTCTTTCTGGGCAACCAAAATTTGGATGAAAATTACTCTCTGGGCAAATCCCTGAAGATGCAACAGATTGAACAATTGGCAGCAAAGGGCGATCAAATGAATGCCATCAACGTAGTCTTGACTTCATCCGATGTCGTGGTCGATGGGTTTTGCTCTAGCAAATGTGGCACCCATAGCTCTCTCCGTTCGAGGGCCGCAATCAAGGGCAAGTACCCAAGATTTGCTTACATTTGGGTTGGAAATTCTGAGACTCAGTGCCCAGGTCAATGTGCCTGGCCATTCCACCAGCCTGTTTATGGACCACAGAGCCCACCATTGGTTGCACCAAACAATGACGTGGGTGTTGATGGGATGATTATCAATTTGGCTAGTCTTTTGGCTGGGGCAGTTACCAATCCTTTTGGAAATGGGTATTTTCAGGGACCAGCTGATGCACCGCTCGAGGCTGCTGCTGCTTGTCCTGGAATATATGGCAAAGGAGCTTACCCGGGCTATGCAGGAGATTTACTAGTTGATGCTACTACTGGTGCTAGCTATAATGCACATGGCAGCAATGGGAGAAAGTATTTGCTTCCTGCGCTATATGATCCTTCAACTTCTACTTGTTCCACTTTGGTGTGAGGGAAAAAAAAAACAAAAAAACAAAGTTATTGTACTGAACGATAGAGACATTGATATATAGGTGCTGTAGAATTGATTCATTCATTCTTTAATATCAAAATATTACAAGCGAAACAACTCTACCACAGATTTTTTCAGCTTCTTTTGTCAATTTTGGTGCATGATCATGGCTTTCAAAATCAACCAAAAAAATGATACAGAAAGAATAAATTGATCTTGGTCAACCAAGCTCCTAGATAACTTCGACATGGCTTGGCTAGGAATGCAAATAACTATTGCGGAATACTGGTAAAAATATGGTCTGATGGCTGGAAATTGCCAAGCTCATTCAGCGCTACATTTAATTTTTGGAGTAATACATGATTAAATGAGATTGAAATACTTTTTAAACGGTTTCCATACATGATTAATTTTGATCAGTTTCTTTTTTTTTTTCTTTTTAAATATGGAGATGGCCTTCCCTATGCTGTAATGTTCCAAACTTTTTTGGTACTTAATTAGCAATAAAAAGAAATCAACTCAAGGATGATTGAAAAAAAAAAAAAAAAAAAGTGAAAGAAGAAAAGCAAAAGAAATAAATGAAAATCAACTCAACCGAATGGAAGCTGGGGAAATTTACGTGTATTTTATGGGGTTACATCTAACTATGAAACGGCAGACTTTTAAACTGATAATTGTCCAGAAAAAGTTCGAAAATTTTTGCTCTGGCAATATTGTCAGCCTTAATTATTTATCATCAAGTTTCTCTCTATCTTAATTATTTTTTTTTTGTTTATGAATAAAAGGAAGTCTCTCTTTCTGTCCTTAGAGCTACTTATCATCAAGTCCCAAAACTGGTTCAAATAAATTCGAGTTAATTCTAGACCAAAATTTTGACTAAACAAAAGGCGAAAAAGAAGGGGAAAAAAAAACTTACGTTAGTTATTGTGAATCAAGGAATCAACTGAGACCTGTCATTTTCCCTTCTTCTTTTTTTCCATTATGACCAATCTTTTAACTTCATCAGCTTCTGTTTAGTATGTAAAGTTTAGGTTTTTTTTTTTTTTACTCTTATTTTATAATAGCTTACTACCATAATCTCTCTTTGCACCCTTGCATGGCCGGACCGCCGGAATAGATAATTTTCTGAAGACAAAACAAAACTTGGAATTGGTACTTTCACTTCTTATTAAAAATTGATTGACCGGAGAAATAATCGACATACTTGTATCAACCAACTTAATTAAAGCCATTGATTACATTTTAATACTATTTGACTTTTCTAAATTGCCCCTAAATTATTCATGTAGATAAATGTCATAATCAAGTCAAAAGTGGACAGCAAGGGAACATGCACAAAATTAAAAACAAGAAAATAAATTCAAAGCACTTAGCAGCCCGAAAGAAACTGCCCGGATGAATCCAGGTGCATGCGGTCCCCTTGGATTCCACAAGTCCGCTGTTTCTCTTACTCAAATTCAAGAGGAAAGGATAAAGGATGAAGCTGATAACACAACAATTAAAGCCTTCAAGTCCGCCCCTGGCCCTCCTCAATTTGCACTGGCAAAAGGCAAATTCATGTTGTTTTCCCGTGTAGCAGTCAACTATAGCAAAGATACAACCAGGCTTAACAGGTGTCATTAAACTAACAACACGTTCTAATGCTGGCACTTCACTAAGGTTGAAAGCTCTAGAAACTCAAATCAATCAACTATATAAGGGCCTAATGGCCACATCCCAATTCATATCAACTTCTACCTCAGAAAGCAAATTACACAAATTTTATCTCTTTCAACTCCTATAAGGTTTCCATATTGGTCTAGCAGGGTTTGAATTGCAGAAATTACTTATGGCCTATACAAACATCCAAACCAGAGTGCTAATGCAAGTATTGTTGGCACTGGCCTTTCTCAGTGTAGCTTCAGCAGGGAGGGTACTGAATGGTAAGGAACAAGATATTGTGCTTTTCCAATACCATAATGGTCCTCTCCTTCATGGAAAAATCTCCATCAATCTTATTTGGTATGGCCAATTCAAGTCATCCCAAAAGGCCATCATAGCCGATTTCATCACCTCTCTAATTTCATTACCACAACCTCAAGTCCAGCCTTCTGTAGCAATGTGGTTCAAGAACATTGACAAGTATTACACAGCAATCAAATCCAAGAAATCTTCTTCATTCCAACTCTTTTTGGGTCACCAAATCTCTTTTCAAGACTACCCTTTGGGAAAATCCCTCAAAGTGCAGCAAATTGAACAGTTAGCAGCAAAGGGTGATCAAATGAATGCCATCAATGTTGTCTTGACTTCAATGGACGTGGCAGTTGAAGGATTTTGCTCTAGCAAATGTGGGACACATGGTTCTCTCCGTTCGAAGACCTCCACTGTCAAAGGCAAGAGCCCAAGGTTCGCTTACATTTGGGTTGGAAACTCAGAGACTCAATGCCCAGGTCAATGTGCCTGGCCATTCCATCAGCCAATTTATGGACCACAGAACCCACCTTTAGTGGCACCCAACAAT